TAGGAAAGAGCAGTGAGAAAGATAAAAATGTTCCCTGTCCTTTATCTGGATTGAAATCTAAAGTGGATATTTATACAGTAAATTCAAAAACTAAAGAGGGAAGCATAGGCCAGATGCATTGGCTCATGCCTATAATCCCAACACTTTCGGAGGCCAACGCGGGCAGATCACCTGAGGTTGGGAGTTCGAGACCAGCCTGACCAACATGGAGAAACCCTGTCTCTACTAAAAATGCAAAATTAGCAGGGCGTGGTGACACATGCCTGTAATCCCAGCTACTGGCAAGGCTGAGGCAGAAGAATTGCTTGAACCCAGGAGATGGAAGTTGTGGTGAGCTGAGATCACACCATTGCGCTCCAGCTTGGGCAACAAAAGCAAAACTTAATCTCAAAAAAAAAAAAAAAAGAAGGAAGCATAAGTATGAAAGTCATTTTTTCTTTCTTTTAACTGGATTTTGATGGGACTGAATTTAAATTCCCTAAAACTGATTTAACCAACTCTAAAAAACTTGCAAGTTCCAGAAGGCAGTTCTGGAGGGAGGGTGGAACAAGAGAGATGGTAGAAGAGGAGCCAGAAGCATGGATTTCGAAACTAGACATTCTTGGCCTCCTCCCTAGGGGCCAGTCACGCTAATTGTCTCAAGCCCTTGGCTCAAATGCTGCAGTACCCTATTGCAATATTGGGTGATCACTGTCCACCTCCCTCTGCAGTATACATATTAATAAACTCATATGCCTTTTCTCTTATTTATTCTGGTCATTAGTTTAAACTTTCTTCCTGTGGGCCCACATTGAAACTTCATTTTTTAACTTCTAGTTAGGTGTGGCCTTTTAGCTAAGTTTCTGTCAATGGAACATAAATAGAAGTAAAGTTTGACATTTCCAGGCCTGGGGCATAGCAACTTTCCATTAAGGATTTTCCCATGTTCTTCGTCCTTGCAGGGCAAATGTGGAAGCCACATTTAGGATAGCCAAGCCACAAAGACAGGGCATCTGGGTTCCAGAACCACTGCTGGAAGAAAGAGTGACCTGTTGATACAGAATATCCTTTTTGAACCTCATATCTGCAGAAAATAAACTTGTATTTATCTTAACTACTATGTCCTGCACCCAAGAAGGGTCCAGATTCTTAATTTCTAAAAGAAAATTATTTACTTGTCGCTGGATTAATCTTCAGGTTAAAACATTTCATCTGTAAAAGAAACGAGTTCACAAGGAGAAACAAATCAAAATGTGGTTGAACTTCTTAAGAGATAACCAGAGAAGAAGCAGCTACATTCAGCTCTATCAGCAATAGAACAACTGTCCACAGCCCAGTGATCTTTCAAATGTGGATGTGACCATAAGGATGAGGTAGTTTCACTGGTTATGTTGCCTCTTGGATCCTCCATTAGAAAAGCACAAGGAGGGCTTGATGTGGTGACTCACACCTATAATCACATCACTTTGGGACCCCAAAGCAGGAGGATCACTTCAAGAGTTCAAGACCAGCCTGAGACCTCATCTCTATATTCAGAAAAAAAAAAAAATCAAATAAATATAATGAGTAAGGAGGCCAGGGGTGATGATGGCTCACACCTTTAATCCCAACGCTTTGGGAAACAGGTGGGAGGATTGCTTGAGGCAAAGAGTCAAAGTTGCAGTGAGCTGGGATCATGCCACTGCAGTCCAGCCTGGACAACAGAGCAAAACGGTCTCCAGAAAAAGAAAAGGTCAAGGAGAAAGCAGAGACCTTGTAATACTGACATTGCTCCCCAAAAGTCTCACAGAATAATCTGGGCAAATTTTGTGGCCCCCCAGACATGTCTTTTCCTCTAACTGTACTTATGAAAGAGTGAAAGTAATCGATAATCCATTATTGTCAGTTATGATCATAAAATCCCTGGATCTCATATTGGACTATAGTCTCAATAAGAAGGACTAAGAAGAAATGTGATCTCTCAATTTTTGTCAGGGTTTAAGTAGGGCTCAAAATCAGTAGTTGGGAACATGCATCATCTTCATCACAATTTAATTTTGTTTTTATTAATTACGGATTCGGCCATCACATTACAACCATTATAGAACTTTGAATATGGAGTTCTGTGGCCAATAGGAGCGGTTTTCTTTGTACTTGGGAGCTCGTCCATAGATATCTAGTATAATCACATCTCAGAAAATGTTACAGTATATAAAGCCTTTTTATAAAGATTACATTCAATTCTTCTGAAAAGTACAATGATAGTAACTTTGCAGATCGCTTAGTTATTATTTTAAATCAATTATCATATAATACTGTTTCGTTAACTACTTGGTATACTTGAATAGGGCTAGCATTCCTCCATGGGGTTAGCACTCATCACTCATCTTTTCCTGCCCCTGCCCTTGGTTCACTGAGTGTCCTTGAGTATCTGAGCAACACTTTTGAAAAGTATTAAAATATATGAATCAGGCCAGATGCAATCAATGACTCACGCCTGTCATCCCAGCACATTGGTGTTTGGAAAACTCTGCCCCTACTGCAAAATCTCTCTCTTTCCCTCCCCCCACAAAGAGGCTCCCTTATCTCTCACTTTACATACCGGTCCTAGCCCTCCCGCCGCCCAGCTTCCCACCCAGCAGTTCAAACTGACCAACAGTTGCCCACCACCTCGGCTTTTGGCTTCCCCACCCCCCAGCCCTTCAGCCCCCTATAAAACAACCCTGCCCCTCTGAGCAGCGCGGCCATTTTTCCTTTTCGTCCCAGCTGGCCCGCCCGGAGGCTCTTTCCTCTCAATAAAGCCTGAACTTAAGGAATTTCCTCTAGCCTGCGGTCCGGTTTCTTTCCCAATGAGCCCAGACTTCCCGCAGAGGGTAGGTCGGACAATTGGGAGGCCAAGGTGGGCAGATCACCTGAGATCAGGAGTTCAAGACTAGTCTGGCCAACATGGCAAAACCCTGTCTCTGCTATGAAATACAAAATTTAGCCAGACGTGGCAGGCGCCTCTAATCCCAGCTACTTGGGAGGTTGAGGCAGGAAGAATGGCTTGAACCTGGGAGGTGGCTGTTCCACCGCACTCCAGCCTACGTAGCAAAGTAAGACTCTCAAAATAAGGCCGGACACCGTGGCATGTAGGGTACCAGCCCCTACCCCGTTGATGGGTGCCCTTAGTCCTGGCAGTGATGAGGGATTGAGAAGCAAATAAACACACAAGAGTAGAATTTTACAGCATGGGTCCAGGGGACCAATGCAAGTGTGGGGACCATGTTGGGACCAAGTTCTGGTTTCCAGAGGATTTTATTAGGTGCCTACACTTGTTAATTGAGGAGTGGGGTAGCAGGGTGTGGTGTTCGCGCCAAGGGCTCGAGACAGCTAGTGGACTCGCCCCAGTTTGGCTGCTGGACCTGTACTGCATTTCCCCACCTCGAGGGCTGTCGAGTGAGACAAAGGGCCGTGAGCTGAGTCACTGAAGCAACAACAGAATGCAAAGCAAAGGCCTGCAGTTTATGAGGACATTGTGCTGTCTGCTTCCATGTCCCCATCAGTCTCTGTGTAAGCAATAAACTTGCTGCAATTGAGATGCCTGAGAGGAGCAGAGACCTCTGCCCATATTTTCCCTGGAGCCAAGCCTTTGTTTTAGCTCCTGGTGAAAAACAGGTTTAACCAGCCATCTTAAGGGGGCCATTGTATCTTTGAAATGTAAAATCTTTGAAATGTAAACTACTACCACAAGCCCCCTTAAACTGCTTTCTGAGCAGATATCACAAGCCCCTGATAACTATTTTTTATGGAGTTTCTGTTTCCTTTCTGTCTACCCCTTTCTTTCTTTCTGCTGAGATAAAGTAAATGTAAACAAGAAAAAAGGTATAAAAGCTGTAACCCACAAAAATAAATTTGCAGCGTTTTGGCCATAATCTTCACGCAGCCCTCCAGACTCTACTTTTCTATATTCTTTCTTTTCCGCGCACTCTCTCTCTCAGGTTGAACGAGACATCTACGTTGGCGGTCTCAGGGACTCCCGCAGGTTGGTAGTCCCCCGACAGCAGGGACCGGGGGTGATCAAGGGATGCCTTGAAACTAATGTGGGCAAGATAGCCAAGGGTAGAAGAGTGGTCTGCAGTATTCAGTAGCAGAAGTGATTCTTACTCTACCACGGGTTGCTATCGGATGTTCATTTGCATTAGAAGCACAGTGGTTAAGAGGCCACCAGGTCTGACCACACCCAATGCAGCAAGGGGCTTTTATCTCCCCAGCCTTGAGGACACAGAGCAATCAAAATTACTCCACATAATATTGAAACTGTCTCCAAAAAAGAAAAATTATGGTTCAGGAGTCCTGCAGCTGGGACCTACAAAATTCTGACCCTACTTAAAACTGCTCAAGATCACTGCTTGAGATATTTTGCAGACCAGATGGATCAGCTGGCACCACCCAGATTGATGAAGCGACTAATCCAATCTTGTGGCCTCCACCAAGAAACTGACTCAGCCCTAGGAGACAGCTTTGACTCCCTATAATTACATCTCTGACCTGAGCAATCAGGACTCCTCGCTTATCGGCTTTTCCCCCCAATCCCCGGATGCTGGGGAGGCTTCTTCAGTGTTCCTGATACTGATCCCAGTTATAACGCAGGTTGACTCCAGCCCTAAATGGGGATTTGCAACAAAGGATGTCCAGACCTATTCTTAACTGCCAGGGCCTGTCGGGGTCCGGCACGTCTGCCGGGGGACTACCGACCTGCGGGAGTCCCTGAGACTGCCAACGTAGATGTCTCGTTCAACCTGAGAGAGAGTGCGTGGAAGAGAAAGAATATAGAAAAGGAGGGCTGGGCAGCGCAGCAGCAGCTACAGCGAGCCACAGTGACAGCCACAGCGATTTTATTCTTGTGGGTTACAGCTTTTATACCTTTTTCTTATTACATTTACTTAATCTCAGTAGAAAGGAAAAAAAAGGGGTAAACAGAAAGGAAATTGAAACTCCATAAAAAATAGTTATCAGGGGCTTGTGATATCTGCTCAGAAAGCAGTTTAAGGGGGCTTGTGATAGTTTACATTTCAAAGATTTTACATTTCAAAGATACAATGGCGCCCTTAAGGTGGCTGGTTAAACCTGTTTTTCACCAGGAGCTAAAACAAAGGCTTGGCTCCAGGGAAAATATGGGCAGAGGTCTCTGCTCCTCTCAGGCATCTCAATTGCAGCAAGTTTATTGCTTACACAGAGACTGATGGGGACATGGAAGCAGACAGCACAATGTCCTCATAAACTGCAGGGCTTTGCTTTGCATTCTGTTGTTGCTTTTAGTGACTCAGCTCGCGGCCCTTTGTCTCACTGGACAGCCCTCGAGGTGGGGATATGCAGACAGGTCCAGCAGCCAAACTGGGGCGAGTCAACTAGCTGTCTCGAGCCCTTGGCGCCAACACTACAAGGGCCCAAAGGGATTAACTATAAATACAGTTTCAAGAAATCCCTTCTATGATGGGTGTACACAGATAACGTGACTAAAGTTCGAAACCCAAGCCTTCTATAAAATGAACCCATGTGTCCTATCCACTACCAACTCCAAGCACCAAACCCCCAACGCCCAGTTAATGAAAAGGAACACGCTTACAATCTCACATCCGAGAGAAAACAGGCGATATAGTAAGCTAGCCATCAACTTTGGACAATCGAATGAGTATGTAAGTACCGCAACCAACATTAACTTTCACAGAATTAGATCAGTTAATCACAGCTATTTTCGGGTAAAAGTGGGCGGCTCTTAAAAGAGCCTTTGTGAGTTGGATTTAATTACTGCGCAGAAAGCTTTACGCTCTCTCCCCACGAATGCGGCGAGCGAGCTGAATGTCCTTCGGCATGATAGTCACCCGCTTAGCGTGGATGGCGCACAGGTTGGTGTCCTCAAAGAGCCCCACCAAGTAGGCCTCGCACGCCTCCTGCAGGGCCATCACCGCGGAGCTTTGAAAGCGCAGGTCAGTCTTGAAGTCCTGAGCAATTTCTCGCACCAGGCGTTGGAAAGGCAACTTTCGGATCAGCAGCTCGGTTGACTTCTGGTAGCGGCGAATCTCGCGCAGGGCCACAGTACCCGGCCGGTAGCGGTGTGGCTTCTTCACGCCACCTGTGGCTGGAGCGCTTTTCCGAGCTGCCTTAGTAGCCAGCTGCTTCCGCGGCGCTTTCCCCCCAGTGGACTTACGTGCAGTCTGCTTAGTACGTGCCATTCTGAACTAACTGAAAAAACAAAGCCACTTAGTATAGTGGAGAGTGCCCTTATATATACTCAGAAACATTCTAATTGGCCTTGTTAATTTTCAAAAGTCCCGCGCCGTAAAACCATTGGCTGAAGAGTGCAACAAAGTGATTGGTGAATTGCTGGAGAGTCTCATTGGATGAATTACTTCACTTTTGAATCCTCTCTTCTCTTCGTTGAATCCTCTTTTCTCCTTGTTAAACAGTCTGCAGTCCAAGAGCGTTAATTTCCTAAAGCTGTAATTTTGCGCTTCTCAAGCTGTAGTCTGTAACAGACTACTTTTGAAGACAGTAAATCTCATTCAGTAGATGTGTTGTGAGGGCAGATTCCGAGGGCCACGTTTTATCTTGTGACGTTTTCTTGAGTCACCTGGACTGCCGGTACCTAGCTCCACTCAGTGAAACCTTTGATTGTTATATGGCAGGATTCCTGGGTGATGTACCTGAGAAATCACAGACCAAGAAGTCACCGGCATACCAGCAGAGAGCAACAAATGTTAACTGCCTTATATTTTGTCCCAAATGGTTTTTTGCTTCGGTTGAGAATTTTCAAAGCACAGGTTATTTTAGGTTTTCCAATGATTGGATCCCTTACTTTTCACTGGGTCGTATTGACGATATACTAGGCTGTAGCGTTCGCGCCAAGGCCTGGAGACAGCTAGTTGACTCGCCCCAGTTTGGCTGCTGGACCTGTCTGCATTTCCCCACCTTGAGGGCTGTCGAGTGAGACAAAGGGCCGCGAGCTGAGTCACTGAAGCAACAACAGAATGCAAAGCACAGGTCTGCAGTTTATGAGGACATTGTGCTGTCTGCTTCCATGTCCCCATCAGTCTCTGTGTAAGCAATAATCTTGCTGCAATTGAGATGCCTGAGAGGAGCAGAGACCTCTGCCCATATTTTCCCTGGAGCTAATAAGCCTTTGTTTTAGCTCCTGGTGAAAAATAGGTTTAACCAGCCACCTTAAGGGAGCCATTGTATCTTTGAAATGTAAAATCTTTGAAATGTAAACTACTATCACAAGCCCCCTTAAACTGCTTTCTGAGCGGATATCACAAGCCCCTGATAACTATTTTTTATGGAGTTTCTATTTCCTTTCTGTTTATCCTTTTCTTTCTTCTGAGATAAAGTAAATGTAAACAATAAAAAAGGTGTAAAAGCTGCAACCCACAAGAATAAATTTGCTGCGTTTTGACCATAATTTTCACGCAGCCCTCCAGACTCTACTTTTCTATATTCTTTCACTTCCGCGCACTCTCTCTCCTAGGTTGATTGAGACATCTACGTTGGTGGTCTCGGGGACTCCCGCAGGTCGGTAGTCCCCCGGGAGACGTGCCAGACCCCGACACTAGGCTACCACGCCCACTAGCCTCTTCACGGTAACTTGAGGGGTACTAGAGTGGCCCTGTCCATCTAAACCTTGCAAGGTTTTGTAAACGTCAGCTAACTTGCTTCTTCCCGACTGCATTAAAACACTTAAAAATATTAAACATTTTCTCATTAGTCCTGTTTGCCTAGTCAGTCACTTGTGTAGACAGGGCAAAGCACAGCATGAATATTGGGCAGGACACGGCCCTGCGCGAGTCACTTTGCCCAGCAGCTCGATGAATTTCTCGTCCTTGTGGATGGCCAGCTGCAGGTGTCAGGGGAGGATGCCGGTCTTGTCGCAGGCTGCGTTGCCCTCCAGCTCCAGGATCTTGGTCAGGTACTGCAGCACAGCCGCCACATACACCAGCGCGCCGGCCCGAACCGGCCCGGCATAACTGCCTTTGCAGAGCAGGCAGTGCACTCCGACCACAGAATACTGGAGATCAGCCCTGAGGAGCGCGTTTTCGCCTTGGCCGCAGCTTTGCTACACTGCTTTCCGCTCCAGACGTAGTCAAGTATTTAAATAATTGTTTAGGAGACGCAAGGTGATTGATTCTAGTAAACCGCAAGCAGCTAATCTGTGTTCGGCAAAATAGCCTGTGCTATTGCCTGAACACAAGTTCCAGCCATTCGAAAAGAAGCATCCGTTTAAAAAAAAAAAAAACAAAAACACTTCCTAAATAATTATGCTTGAAAGGTCAAATTAGGGAAGGTTGAGCTTCTGGGAGAACCAATGAGATTTAGGAATTCAGAACTGGCCTATCACATATTCAGATACTAAAAGAACCAATCAAAAACCGAAACAGCAATCCTCATTTGCAGATACACGAAATAAATAATGAGGGCGTTTGGGCTCACCAGCATATTGCTTGTCATTACTTGAGACAAATACATCGGCTGTGAACATGCCTGAACCAGCGAAGTCCGCTCCCGCCCCGAAGAAGGGCTCCAAGAAGGCGGTGACCAAGGCGCAGAAGAAGGACGGCAAGAAGCGCAAGCGCAGCCGCAAGGAGAGCTACTCCGTGTACGTGTACAAGGTGCTGAAGCAGGTGCACCCCGACACCGGCATCTCCTCCAAGGCCATGGGCATCATGAACTCCTTCGTCAACGACATCTTCGAGCGCATCGCGGGCGAGGCTTCCCGCCTGGCGCATTACAACAAGCGCTCGACCATCACCTCCAGGGAGATCCAGACGGCCGTGCGCCTGCTGCTGCCTGGGGAGCTGGCCAAGCACGCCGTGTCGGAGGGCACCAAGGCTGTCACCAAGTACACCAGCTCTAAGTAAACTAGGTGTCTGAGTAAAAGCGCCAACGACCCAAAGGCTCTTTTAAGAGCCACCCATGTTGTCATTTAAAGATCTGTAATTCTCCAAAACTCCCCTTTTACTAGAACCACCCCCACTTTTCTGCCTTCACACCACCACCTTAGGTTTTTGCTTTTAGTTTCACTTTATCATCCTATTTCCCTTGATTGGGAGTAGCCAGGTGGAAAACAAATTTGGGGTACTGTTATAGTTAATTTGTTTTCCTCTTGTAATTCCTTACTAGCTTGCAAACGGTTGGAGCAGCATATGATGGAGGAAATCACCTCTGTTGGTTGCATTTATAAACTACGGCAGATTGCTACCAGAGTTTCTCACATCTCCGTTGTTCCAAGTCCACTAACTTCTCTATAAATTTTACTGAGTTTGTAATTCTTGGATTACTTCACGTAGCTATATGTATTATCTCTTGGCAAGATCAGGAACTCTACCATCTTCTTGCATAAACATATTGAGGTTTAAGAGAACAAACGGGTGCCTGGTGTGGTGGCTCACGCATGTTATTCCAACGCTTTGGGAGGCCGAGGCAGGTGGATCACCTGAGGTCAGGAGTTTGAGAGCAGCCTGGTCAACAAGAAACTCTGTATCTTTAGAAAAAATAAAAATTTTAAAAAAGAACGGGCAAAAAGATAGCATGACGTTGGAGCAAAGAAATGAAAACTGCAGGTGCTACACTCATGTGCTTTTATCTGCAAGCCTTTTTTAAGGCTTCAAGGACTGAGTTCTCCCTAAACTACCTCCTCTGTGTCCTGGAACTACTTTGTCCACAGCTACTTTCTTTCCTGAAATTTCATTTTAAGAGAGGAGGGTTACAAGGAATTAACATTTGTGTGGTAGTCCTTAGAATGAATTATTTCATTCATTGATTTTTTTTTTCTACAGTCAGCTGTGAAATGGAATCTCCTCTTTCACAGGCGACTGACCTCAATAATTAGGTTAAGTAACTAGCCTCTTACACATAAATAAAACTGAGATTTGAATCCCCTCTAGCTGATTCTAAGGATTACTTCCCACTATTTGTTAGAGACCACCCCAAGCAGGAGCCTAATTCCTGTCATAGAAGTCAGAAAATTTAGTCTCCGTTGTAATAAAAGTGGTCAGGAGATAAACATATTCTTGGTTGCACAGCAAAGTCCTTATACCAGCAAAAGTTTATTTTAAAAATGAAATAATGTGACCTTTGGTCCCTAAAGATCACCTGGCAGAAGTTTAACTTTTTCTGAGCACTGTATTCTGGAGGGGAAACATGGGCATTGCCTACGTAAAGGTGCGCTCTAAAATCGTATTCTCTATTAGCTACATGTCATTATCTGCAAATACCCACATAGCAGATTACTGAGAACAGTTAATGACCACAATTTGTTGTTTTAATTTTTTTTTTTGAGACAGGGTCTTGCTTTGTTATCCAGACTGGGGTGCAGTGACATAACCATGGCTCACTGCATTCAGCCTCCCTGATTGTTCCCACCTGTCTCCCAAGGAGCTGGTACTGTAGGCACACACCATCATACCCACTTAATTTTCTTTTTTTAAGATTTTTGTGGAGCCAGGGTCCCACTGTGTTGCCCAGGATGGTCTCAAAGTAAATTTGTAATGGAACTTGTGAAGAAAATTCTCTAACCTCCATGTATAACTAAGGCATTCATTTCTCACTCTCCAAAGCTACTTTTAAATACATTTTAAATTATACAGTCATGAAATATTCAAGCATGAAGGCATTTATTTCTTGCTCTCTAAAGCTAATTTTAAATACATTTAAAATGATATATTCATGAAATATTCTAGCATGGTCTAAGGGAGACATCCCTCAGGAAGTGATATAGTCCTGATTGCCTGTTTCCATCCTGAGTTTGGGCAATTTTTTAAATTCCTCTATAAGTACTTCCTTACCTGTTTATTCTAAGCAGGAATAATAATTAGTAACTACTGCATTGCAGCATTCACGCCAAAGGCTTGAGACAGTTAGTGTGACTTGTCCCCTTTTGACTGCTGGACCTATCTGCTCTCCCCCCCCCCCCCCCCCCCCCGCTCTCAAGGCCTGTTGAGTTGAGGCAAGGGTCGCAGGCTGAGCCACTGAGGCAAAAACAAGATACAGAGCAAGGGCCTGTGGTTTACGAGGGCATTGTGCTGACTGCTTTCATATCCCCCTTTAATCCCTGTGTAAGCAACGGACTTGCTGCAATTGAGATGCCTGAGAGGGGCAAGGACCCCTGCCCATATTTTCTCAGGAGCTGAGCCTTTGCTCCACCTCCTGATGGAAAACATAATTAACAAGCCACCATGAGGACGCCATTGTTTGATTGCACTGTGTACTCTTAAAAAACATATATTAACCTTTAAACTGCTTTGTGAGCTATTACCACAAGCCCCTTCAAACTGCTTTGTGAGCCGTTATCACAAGCCCCTGATAACTATTTTTACGTGGTTTCTGTTCCCTTTTCTGTTTACCCCCTTTTCTGCTGAGCTAAAGTAAATGTAACAAGAAAAAAGGTATAAAAGCTGTAACCCACAAAAATAAAGCTGCTGCCTGACTTACGGTCACGCAGACCTCCAGACTCCACTTTTCCTTATTGTTTCACTTCCGCGCACTCTCTCCCTCAGGTTGGACGAGACATCTACGTTGGCGGTCTCGGGGACTCCTGCAGGTCGGCAGCCCCCCGGCAAAAGTGCCGGACCCCAACACTGCATGACATTACTGGAGTGACCAATAAAAGGAAACAGCTAAAGCACTTAGTACTCGAGACGTCTGCACAGAGGATGTCCCGGTAAATATTAGCTGTGGCTAAAGCGTCTGGTGAGTGATAGCGAAGGTGCCTTTGGTCCTGCCCACATTGAAAGCCCAGTGTCCTGAGGCCTGGAATAATTAGCATTGGCTGTGAAATGGGCTTTTCTGTCAGTGTAACCAATACTCTGAACAGTTCAATCCCCTCCTTAGAGCCATTGCTTTCCTCCGAAGCATTCTGGACACATTCTACCGCCTGAGGATGTTTGATTTCCCTATCTTTGCTTGCCAATTCAAGCAACATGTGTCATATTTTCCAGGGACTGTCTCATGCTCTCACTAGAACTGGGGGTGCCTCATTTAATGGTCAGGTGTGTTGAGTCGTAAAGAAGGACACCTACAAACCACATAAGAATTGCTTAGTACCTTTTTACTCCTTTTTTCTTCCCATGTTTCCTATTATCTTTGCTAACATTGCTATATTTATTTTCCATCCATTTGTTGACTGCCTTTCCCTCATGTACCTCCAGATCACAGCCATGTTTCCAGATGAACTTCTGTGCCTTAGTAAATATGTTATTAAATTGAAACATAGGAAATTGGCTGACTGATGAGGGCCACACTTTCCTGAATCCATTCCATCCCTGAGGCATAGGTCACTTCAAAGGAAACTGATTGGCATAAATGTTCTTAATATAAATGCAGCTTAATAAACTGCATCACTCTTTTGGTCCACGAATTCTATTTGAGATGTAACACGGTGGCATTAGGGCCCACTCCTTCATTCTTTGAAGCCGGGAGGCCAAGAACCTCCAATTCGAAGTCCGGCCACACAATGATCTCCCACCATACCCCACCTCCAACACTGGGGATTACTATCGAAAATGAGATTTGGCTGCGAACACAGATCCAAACCATATCAAATGTATATCCTTTGCTTGTTCATCTGTCTTTTGTTTCAAGGCCCCAGCCAAGGAATTTAAAATGGGTAGAAGGAAAAGCTGTTTTCTTCCCTATGGCACACAGTAGGTGTGGGAGGGCATCTGTGTTCTGTCTGTCTTTCTAGCATAGACAAGCAGACATAATATTGAAAAAAAATGCAGAGAAAAATAATCCCAGGATGAAAATGTTTGAGAAGTGTATTCATTTGCTAGGGCTGCCAGAACAAAGTACCACAGACTGGGTGGCTTAAACATTTATTTTTTCACAATTCTGTGAATAGGTAAGAATTGACCTTCAATTTCTTCTAAGGTCTCTCTCCATGGTGTGTCGATGACTGTCTTCTCCCTCTGTCTTCCCATTATCTATTCTGTGTGTGTGTGATCAGTCTTCTTTCTCTATAAGGACACCAGTAAAATTGGAGCCAGACCCACCTCACAAGCCTATTCATCTGATTTCAATTGTGTGTAAAAAGTAACTTCTACTTTACAGGACAGAGTATAGAAGCCAAGTAAAATGATCCCATTAGAAAAGCCATTCCAAATATACAGTTTTGGTCTCTAGCAAATCATTATCCTGATGTCTGAATGTATGCCTTTAAGAGGGAAATTTCGCTCGTTACTCAGGCCAGGCCGGAGTGCAACAGCGCGATCCTGGCTGACGGCACTCTGCACTTCCCAGGTTCAAGCGATTTTCTTACCTCAGCCTCCCGAGTAGCTGGGATTACAGACATGCACCATCCACGACCAGCTAATTTTTCATATTTTTAGTTGGGAAGGGGTTTCTCCCTGTTGGTCACACTGGTCTTGAACTCCCGACCACAGGTGATCTGCCCACCTCCCAGAGTGCTGGGATTACAGAGTGCTGGGAAACACCGCCCTTCGCCTGAATCTATACTTTCCTAAAAGGCTATCTGCACTGCTTAAAAATTAAGTTTTGGTGATGTTTCCATATTGCTCACTTACCGATACCGTACCTTTTAATGACTTCATAACGTAAGAAAGTTTATGTGAAATTCCTTGCAAGCCCTCAAGGGAGCATTTACATTGTTACCTCACACAGCCTTTTGTTGAGGAACTCGTCACCCAGTCAAAAGCAGCAGCTTACACGCCGCCTGGACTTCGGCACTGGATCTGTTCCAGTCGGATTCGCCTTTGTTTCTAGGCCCGCCGCCAAGGCGCGGGTTTTCTTTGTTCCTCGCCCTCCCCGCCATTTTGAAAACGGTAACGGAGTCTCTTCTAGTTTACTGCCACTTCTCTACTCCCTGAGAACCTTACGATCACTTCAAGCTTAAAGAGGAAGCCACACGGAATATAAGCCGTGCCAATCCAGTTTACTCACTGCCATCTTAAGCTCTAAACTGTTAGATTCCTGCAGCGCCACCTTGGGGAAAAAAAAAAAGTGTAAAAGAAAGCTAAACATTTACAACATACCGACTACCCTAAGCAGAAGACAATAACCCTGAGTACTTTATTTGAACAAATCTGAAACATGCGACGTTAATCTTGTAAAGTTAAACGTCACCTGTAATCTACACGTGTGAAAACTACTTTTCAACAAAAACCTGGAGAAGAAAAGGACAGGAACCACAAGATGTCCGCTCTCTTACGGAAAAAGTGGGCGGCCCTGAAAAGGGCCTTTGGTTTGGGGAGTCGCGGTGTTGAGGCGTCTGACCGGGAGCCTTAGCCGCCGAAGCCGTACAGAGTGCGTCCCTGCCGCTTCAGCGCGTACACCACGTCCATCGCGGTCACGGTCTTGCGCTTGGCGTGCTCCGTGTAAGTGACCGCGTCACGGATCACGTTCTCCAGAAACACCTTCAGAACCCCGCGGGTCTCCTCATAGATGAGGCCAGAAATGCGCTTGACGCCGCCGCGACGAGCAAGGCGCCGGATGGCCGGCTTCGTAATGCCCTGGATGTTGTCTCGTAAAACCTTACGGTGACGCTTGGCGCCCCCTTTACCGAGGCCTTTTCCCCCTTTACCACGTCCAGACATGTCTAACCAGCTCTTAACACCAGCTTTAGCAACAAGGCCGGAGCAGAGCAACGCCCTTATATGCAGGGAATGCGGACCTAATTGGAGACAGAAGCGTTCATACGGGAACTTTGGGCCTGCCTCTTGGCCCCGCCCTACATTGCCCAGCCCTGTGTGATGTCACCAGCGACTCCAGTCTTTGGCATCCGAGTGCCTTCTCTGAGGAGGCCCCTCCTGCGAGTGCTGGGTCCCCAAATAGGAATTTCAAGGCTGTTTTAATAACTAAATCAGATTAAAGAAATTAACATGTTTATTATTATTAGTTGCTTAAGGTGCTTTAGGACGATTAGACAGGAGCCTCGATCCAAACGAACTGAGGCCTGAGGAGTCCAACTTACTCCCCAAGGTCACAGTGACGGATATTTCTGCTGCCTGCTGTAAAACACATGCAGACCGAAACCCCCTTCGGAAGTGTTTGAAAAGTGCAAGATTTCATCCTCTCCACAAGGGAAATAGAACCAAAAGAGTTTTCTTCCCGATGGCGAAGACATGGATGGTTACCGATTCGTGGTAGAATTATCGCCCTCCGCGCAGAGGCCTGATTGATTGTATTCCCAGCTTGTTCTCTTCTTTCGCTGCTTATTAAAATGTGTAATTGCCATTGAAATAGCTAGCTGCCCTTCACATCTGCACCCAGTAATTCATCAGTGTGTGCGCTTCAGGATGTTTTTGTCGTTGTTTTGCTTTGTTATTTTTTTTGTTGAGACGGAGTCTCACTATGTTGCCAGCTTTGGTGTCCCAAAGTGCAGGGACTACAGGTGTCAGCTACCGCGCCTGGCCCACAATCTATTGATGTTTACTTTTCCATCCCTAATTTTGTTTTCTGTTTGATTCTGGTAGCCGCCTTTTTCCAAAATCAGTTGGCAACCTGTGGTAGCCAAAGTATTAAATAAGTAACTTCCTGTAGACTTTTTATAGTCCTGAGACAGTGTGAGCACATTGCTTGAAAGTAGTTAAGAGGACAATGAGAAAGCCAGTTCCGCAAGGCAGCAGAGTGGCGCAGCGGAAGCGTGCTGGGCCCATAACCCAGAGGTCGATGGATCGAAACCATCCTCTGCTAGATCTTTCCGTTTCTTTTCTGAGGATCTGTATTTTTAAAGTTACACTTTGTAGCTTAAACAGTAAGGTAAGAAAACAAAAATGGAGTCAAGTATTTCTTTTAATTCCAGAATTACAAGCATTTCCAGAAAATAATGTGAAACTGATTACGATCTTTGCATGTACAGGTTTATTTTCATGGACACCCAACTGTTATTAACCAATATTTCATCTCTATATAGAGCAAATATCTTTTGTTGCCAAAGTGGCCATGCCACTGTTGCAGCCAGTTATGACACTTGTAAATTAACCTGTCAGGCAGGGAAAATGCTGACATAAACTGAATGCCAAGGGTGGGGTAGGAGCAGAGGAATGGACTTTTATATCCTTTGTTACATAATTCAGGAAGCGCTGTTTGCCAAGTGGTTAAGGCGATCTACTAGGAATCCTTAAATCCCCACGCAAATTCTTTGCAACGACGAGAGTCTCAATCTTGGAAAATGAGTAGCAGTTTGAGGTGGCTATGGAGTCTTCATAACATGGACTGAACTCTGACCTGGGAAAACCATTTCTGTGGCCACTACTGGTAAACCGTGTCTCTACTCTCTACCTTCCTTTCATATCTCGAATACAACTATTGACTGCGCTTATTTTTTAAACAAATGTGTTGGCTATTTTATGCTTCTCTCTCTCAGAAATGATTCTTATTCAGATATTAATGTATCACATAATGTATTAGGAGCTAAGAAATTTATAAAAAAAAAAACGCTTAAGTAGCCTACAGTCTAGATATGCTTTTAAACAAGTAAATATGTAGAATGCAATATGGTGGTTCTGTAAAAGGGTTGTACACTAAGAGCAGGGGGAATGTAAAAAATGGTGACTGGAATCCCATGACCACTCAGTAATTCAGTAATTCACCGGCAGTAATCACATGACTTAGCATACACTCAGTCAAGATTTATTATAGCTATTGACCATTTTTGGTTTGGGCTAAAGAAAATGTTTTAAAAATAAAGACAAAAAATATTTATTATAGCACAAGATACAATGCAAGGAAAGCACAAATATATACATGCCACTGTTTAGGCGAAGCCTAAAGGCTTTCTTGTCCAGACTCTTAAGTGATGACAGGAATGCACTTTCTCCACCGCATGCATGTTTTTACGCTGTGCTTGCATGTCAAAGTCCACATGAGCATTAGAGTCAAAGTTGTTACAGGGAGCTAGTCACAGCTACCACGTGGCCAGCCATGTGGAATGCTAACCAGACACCAGTTGCACATCATGAATCGCCATGTTCACTACAAATATGCTGACAACATAGTTCATAGCAACTCATTACTTAAGATATATAGGATCACATTGCCCAGTAACTATGTCAGCATTCTGATATTTTAGTAAGGGTCATCACCATGGCACTTATCTACAGAGGTAAGTGAAAACTGAAACAGGGTTGCTGCATTAATTTTGCCCTGACAATTGTCTAATTCTGAAATGGTGGCAGATTTTGAGCCAAAATTTGAATGAGTAAGAATCTGCCATACAGCGAAGAAGAGCATTCTAGGAAAAAGAAACACAAGGAAGCATAATACTTAAAGGTTTCTGAGGAACTACAAATTATACTTCATTGGAAGTATGGAGGTGAGGTATGTGAGTGAGGAAGAGGGATTTAGAGAGAAAAGTGGCTGGTTCTATCACCTCCTACGCACGTGTCGATAGACAAAAAATTCTCCTGCCTTAAATAGTACGAAGGCTGAAAACCAACACTGGTATTGTATAAACAATACTGGCAGAAACTTATTAGTCACATATACTTACAGCCTAGAAGAAGAGGGCACTACATACTGTGCAAAGCCACAGAAAGGTTGCACTCAGGAGCAGAATGAACCAGTGGGGGCTGTGAGAGGTGGGCTTTGTGGTCATCAGAGGGTAGGGAGACTCCGGGTTCTCTCCGGAGAACGAGTTGGCTTGCTTTAACAGTTTGTCGGACTGGCATTGAGCTGAAACCCATTAGGTGGAGGCCTGAGTGGGGCAGCCGGTCTGGCAGATAAGGGAACTGGCCAAGTGGGGAGTCTTTCCTGCTTGTGGGAGTCATGTCTACCAAGGCAGGAAAACTTGTGGATAGGCCTTTTGGGGAACCCTGGGAGGGTCAAATATCTCAAGGCAGGACTTGAAATTTTAGGTCTTACATTACCTAGAATTGGTCTGGAGTTAAGGCAGAACAAAAAGGGGAAGAATCGGTCATAAGGGGGTGAGTATACAAGACAACCACTTAGGTTTTCTTTTTCAGTGGGCAATAGGAAACCACTGAGCAATTGTGAACAAAGAATATCATCCCAATTCTCTTCTGAGAAAAAAGTCTCTGAACCACTCTAGAAGGTGCAGCAATCAGTCAATGAAACACAGGGGGGAAAAGGAAAAAAAAAGGTCTCCGGAGTTTTCATGTTTTCCATCTGGTCCTTGATTGGTTTATTTTTCAGCAAATCTCTTCTGTTCTAACTGGGGAGAGGGAGACTTTGGGACTATATATGTCTATTTAAGGCTGAGCCCTTCACACCAGTCATCTCCACTTGCATGTTCAATACACAACTTGAAGTAAATGCTGAAACAGAGTCTAGATCCCACCACACACATGCACACATACACACTGCCCTCAGAATGCGCTTTCCAAAGTCATTCCCAACAACTACGTTGTTAACAGCAAAATAAACTGGAAATATATGTGACTTTTCTACTTCTTTCACAATAATTCGCTCATAAATCCTTCAAAACACACCCAGAATTCAACCACTCCTCAATACTTCTATAAACACGACCCATGATGGTTTGTTTAACCATAATTATGTGTCATCCAAATATTACAATAGCCTTTCAACCAATCTTCCTGCCTCCAGGAAGAGAGAGAGAGCAACAAAGATTTTTGCAGAATAGAAGAATCTTCTTGTTAGATAATTCCCACCTTGAAGATGACTGCAGGATTCAAAAGTAAGTGAGAAATTCAGCACATTTGTATTGAGCCCCTACTATTTGCCAGATGTTATTCTATGTAAAAGGCCCAATGTCTGTCCTCCAGAAGCCGCTGTATTTGCTAATCAAGAGAAACCAAGACTTATCACAAATGAGCCAGGAGAGCCATTATTTCCAGTATCCAGAGTTTAGAAAAATTAAGGAAATACCTTATATGTAGACTGTTGACATTATCTTCAAATGACACGCTTGAGTTCACAGAAATTCACTGATGGGCTTGAAAGAAGCCACCCAAAATACAACTTTATATTTATACGCCATTATGAGGCCAAGAGCTCTACAGAACATTATAAATTCTATAAATCTCTTCTCCATAGTATGATGCTAATCCATTACATTTTTTGTGTTGGTTTATCTATTATAATAAAATTTTTTGCATTTCTCTTTTGTGTTCCTTCACTTCACAATATGCGGGGAGCTCAAAAAATGGTAATGGCTCCAGACTGCTCTACACTCCTATGAAACCCCGAAGAAAGTATTTGCTTTCTAAACAGTAACATACTACAAAAAGTGCTCTGATATCACATTATCACAATCAGAGAAAGTGCCAGCACGGGGGATAATTGTCTTCTGTCTCCAGCTTCTGCTCACACCCATCGCGCCGAGGTTGCCTTGTGATCAAACTGCCTTTCAAGTGCGGTTGCCTGAACAACTGCCTGGGCAGACACTGCATGAGCCCAGAGTCTGTAAGTGGTGAATGTGGTTGAGCATCATAGGGAAGAAACCCTGAGTAAGCTTATTTTAAAATCTTCCTCGATACAGACAATACGCAACATTTTAGCATCTTTTAGATACCACCAACTCCACTTCTGCCTTGGGAGTCATAGAGCAAACGACCTGTCTCTCCATGGAGTAGTCATATTACCACAAGACTGAAATAATTGTCCATCCCATCCGTTTTTAAATCCCAATTCTGTGGCCCCAAATATTCCACGAAATCTAA